AGATAGAAGATTACATTAGGAGACAATTTGTACAGATAGGAGGGGAAGAGAATAGTGAACCCTAGACTTGAACAGGTTAAGATTGTAGTGATTGGGGAATCCTCTTGGGTGTTGGTGCCACAAAGCAGTGGTTCATGGGAAGAGGCTGTTCAAGTGGTACTTCTCAGTGATGGAATATAAAGGGAATGTGGGTGGTTTGCTATAATGTGACATGGCGGGTCCTAGCCATAAGGGCAAAACCAAAGAATGTAGTTTATCTGAGCACTTCCCATGGAAATAGTGACAGAGCAGTGAGAGACTCGCCACACCCTGCCTGTGAGAGTCAGTTTCATACTTAAATGAAATCTTCAGGCCATCTTTTTTCTTTGATTTTTCTCTCTCTCTTTGATTTCTCTCTCTCTCTCTTTGATTTTTCTCTCTCTCTCTCTCTCTTTGATTTTTCTCTCTCTCTCTTTGATTTTTCTCTCTCTCTCTTTGATTTTCTCTCTCTCTCTTTGATTTCTCTCTCTCTCTTTGATTTCTCTCTCTCTCTTTGATTTCTCTCTCTCTCTTTGATTTCTCTCTCTCTTTTTTTTCTCTCTCTCTCTCTTTCTTGATTTCTCTCTCTCTTTGATTTCTCTCTCTCTTTGATTTCTCTCTCTTTTTCTTTTCTCTCTCTTTTGATTTCTCTCTCTCTCTCTGATCTTCTCTTCTCTTTGATTTCTCTCTCTCTCTCTTTCTTTTCTCTCTCTTTTTTTTCTCTCTCTCTTTGATTTCTCTCTCTCTCTCTCTCTCTTATTTGATTTTCTCTCTCTCTCTCTCTTTTGATTTCTCTCTCTCTCTCTCTCTTTGATTTCTCTCTCTCTCTCTCTCTTTGATTTCTCTCTCTCTCTCTCTTTGATTTCTCTCTCTCTCTCTCTCTCTTTGATTTCTCTCTCTCTTTGATTTCTCTCTCTCTCTCTCTCTTTTGATTTCTCTCTCTCTCTCTTTGATTTATCTCTCTCTCTCTTTGATTTATCTCTCTCTCTCTTTGATTTATCTCTCTCTCTCTTTGATTTATCTCTCTCTCTCTTTGATTTTTCTCTCTCTCTCTTTGATTTCTCTCTCTCTCTCTCTTTGATTTCTCTCTCTCTCTCTCTTTGATTTTCTCTCTCTCTCTCTTTTTTTCTCTCTCTCTCTCTTTGATTTTCTCTCTCTCTCTTTGATTTTTCTCTCTCTCTCTCTCTTTGATTTTCTCTCTCTCTCTCTCTTTGATTTTTCTCTCTCTCTCTCTTTTGATTTTCTCTCTCTCTCTCTCTTTTTTTTTCTCTCTCTCTCTCTCTTTTTTTTCTCTCTCTCTTGATTTTCTCTCTCTCTCTTTTTTTTTTTCTCTCTCTTTTTTGATTTTTCTCTCTCTTTGATTTTTCTCTCTCTCTTTGATTTTTCTCTCTCTCTTTTTATTTTAGGCATCTGGATTGGTTCTTCTCACATCTTATAAATAGCCTTAGCTCTGAAGTTTCATCACCAGACTAGCTACCTTTTTTTCTTTATTTCCTGATGTTGTTACTGGTTTTTGCAACACTTTAAAAAAAACAAACAAACCAAAACATGGCCAAGGTAAAAAAAATAAAATAAAATACACACGCATATATATATATATATATATAAACACACACAGAGTTGTAGACAGAATTATTTGCCCCCACTGAATATTTGCATATTTTCTAAGGAAATGCAAATATTTGCAAGTACTTACTGAATTTACCATAAATAGTTGATTCCATCTTTTAGTTTTGAATAATTCATGAAATTTTTAGAAGTTTTGATCTATTATATTCATAGTTCTAAAAATTGGTGCAGTCCAAAATTATTTGCCCCATTAGGAAAATTATGAAATAATATTGCTCTATGGTAAGTGCAATGTTTTTTTTTTCAATTTAACATTTAATACAAACAGCCTTTGAAAATGAAATAGTATTGACCTGATTCTATAACATTCTAAAAAGTAATAAAGACAATATGTGAGTGCCACATACTGCAATAATTCATTCATTCTGCAACTGTGGTGAAGACAGTTTAACAAGTTCTGAATGAAAATATTTGATACATACAAACAATGTGATCAATATACAACACTTTCCAAGGTTTAACTGTTCTCATATCAACAATTTATAGCATTATCAAGAAGTATGAGACTCATTGTGTTGAGAATAAATTAAGGACTGGCAGAAAATGGTTAATTTCTGACATAATGGAAAGGAAAATTGTTAAAAATGTCTTGAATAATCGACACTTAATAGCAAAGGACATTGTCAATGTTTAAAGACATCAGGGTTGAATGTATTGACGAAGACGGTTACTAAATGTTTTCATTAAGCAGGTTTTTGAGTTTGTTGCCCAAGGAAAACTCCCTTGCTTAAGACTAAACACCTAAAATGCAGATTAACTTATACTAGAAACCATCTAGAACATGGGAGTAAATATTGGAACTCTGCTGTATGGTCAAATGAAACCAAACTAGAATTATTTGGTCACATGAACTCCCATTATGTATGGAGAAAATTGAATGAGCTCACAAACTAAAAAATACCCTCCCTACAATTAGGCACAGTGGTGGTAGCATTCTGCTGCTTTGTTGCTTCTGGACCAGGAGAACTAGTGAGAGTACAGGGTATCATGGATAAAGAACAATATTTGGCTATTCTTAAAAATAATATAAAACAAAATGCACAAAAGCTGTCTTTGGGGTGTCACTGGACATTCCAACATGACAATGATGCAAAACACATGGCATGAATTGTTACAAAATACGTAGATGCCAGCAAAATTAAGGTATTGGCATACTCCATAGTTTTGACCTAAATTGAAAATTTATGGGCATATTTGAAGAAAAGAAGCAAAGTTCTTTGAATTTGGAGGAACTAGAAGCTATTACCAAGGAAGAATGGAGTAAAATAGCTATCAGTGTGTGTATTTGATCTTGTAAGAAACTATTAAAAATGATTAAAGGCACTAATCAAGAATAAAGATTACACAATTGATTATTGAGGCAAGAGGGTCAATATAATCCTATGTTAAATGTTTTTTGGTGTTTTTTGTATTATTGTTTGACATTAAAATAAAAATTTTGTTGTGGGCATCACTGCACATTCTTTCAAATTCATTATTTCATCATTTGTGAAAAAAATGCATATGAAGTTTCCATGAAAATTTGAGGTATTACAGCTTTATTTGTAATTATGGAATATATATATATATATCTCACTACTTTCATTTTAATTTGAGTAATGCCAGAGGCTGGGGTTAAAGTTCAGAAAAGTTAGGATTTCAGCTGCTGGTTGGTTACTTTTAGCCATCTCAAAAACTGGTATAACAATGCCTTCTCTCTTGGTATTGAACTAAGATTTTTCTGTGTACCATGTTCCTTCAGGATATTGGTGGTCATGGCTCTCTACAACTTCCCATTCTTTTGTAGTGCTTAGCAATTTTTTCTTTTCAATTATATCACCCCAAGCAAGGTGATAATACCATTACGATGCAAGATGGTTACTGGGATTGAAATAGAACAAGAAAACTTTAGGCAAAGAAAGTGAAACCAAATTCTAAATAGGAAATAAGGAAAAAACCTCTACTCCTATTCAAAAGACCAGGGAGGCATGTAATCCAGATAATAGAGGAACCTATCTACTGCTATTATAATGGCCATGCAATGGTGCAATAATACAGACTCTTTTTAAAACAGTTGTTGATCTTGTCGCATGGTTAGGACTAAAATGCTAAAACATTTTCATATTCTTTCACACCCAGTAGCCCTTTGTGTCTTAGTGGCATTATTCCCTTGCTTGGGGTGAAATGATTAAAAAAATCAAAACAAAAAAAAACAGTCTATTTAAAGCAATATTGAAAAAATAATATTGTATAATGTCACCACAAGCAACAATATTTTTAACACATTTTGACACTGAAAAATCATCTTTTAGCATTTCAGCATCACTAAAATACTCTACAGCAAGACAGATATTTTCAATAATTAAGTTTTTTTTGAGAAAGTCTGTAAGTACAATGACACCACAAGAAGATATATTCCATTAGTAATCTGAGAAGACAAGTGGAAGCAAGGTACTAAAGAAGGCCTAAAATTGCATCATCTTTGCTTTCACTAATGCAATTCGGTCAATTACAAACACTCAACTCTGAGAACAACACAAAACTGTTGCTGGCAACACCAACTGTCTGTTGGTGTTGTCAGAAGATTGACTGCTTAATTCCTAATTAATGAATATTACACTACAGACTATTTGTTTTGTGTTATCATGACCCCCTCCCCTGGACCAAGTAACACCTATGACACATGCCTGCCCTACCTAGATAGGTCACTGTGTAGATGACAGGAATTTTCATCATTGCAATTTCATGACTCAGTTGTGAATGACATTTTCTGCCACAATTACTCAGTTAAAAATAAAAAAACAAATATTTATAATATTTAATAATTTTTCATCCCCTCTTTTTCAGGGGAACAGTTTTATAATATTCCAGAGCCAACAATTGATGCCATGAAAATTGAAGACACTTTTCTTCCTGAAGAAAGATATGGAGTATTGGATTATTTCCCGGCACCTTGGCTGTGGCAAGAAAATGAAATAAAGTATTCATATTCTTTACTTTCAAATGAATGATTTTTCTATTTTGATATTTCATGGGTTATCTATAGAATACAAACAATTTTAATGTTGGTAGCATCCTATCAACATTTTTCTTTAACATCTTCAGGATTGATTGATTGATTTTTTTTACAGCTTATCAATCTCTTACAGGTTATTCAAAGGTGGAAAATATTTTTTGATTGTAAGAATTTTTTTAGAGATAATAATAGTTTTACTGATGTCCTACTAATTAACCCATAGCTGAGGTGAGAAAAGATGGAGTCATGCCTTTCCCATAAGTATTTGTAAGTGTTAACAAACCTGACTGGGATTGGAACTTTGCACTCAGATTTCCAATTCCAAGCCATTATCCATTACACCACCTGCACATTAAAGATTACGGCACCTGGTATTCCCAAGCAGTCACCCTACTAAGTACTGACCAGACTCGACCTTGCTTAACTTTGGTGATTGTATGGGAACCGATGTTTCACGATGATGTGGCTGTAAGGCAACAGAAATAAGTTAAAAGAAGAACTTATATAGTGCTAGTATTCTTAGGAGTATAGTGATGTCATAGAAAGTAGCAATAAAATGAAAAAAATGGACTGATGACAACTACCTTGAAATTCCATTGGTGTTGAAAATGTCCAGACATTGTATATATATATATATATATATATATATATATATATATTTCCACATTTACTGACCAAATTTTGATCTGTCCAACATCACTTTCAGATCCTTAGTAAATAGACCATATTTTTATGTATAATACGAGAAATTTTGAATGAAAATTAAAGGGGTTCATATTATACACAAGTACACCTTTTCAGAAATTTTACTGTTTCAAAACTCTCTCTTATTTGAAACAGCAAGATAAAAAACAGATAATAAAAGACAAAGTAGACAGGTGTTGATAACAATTGTTTACAAAAGGTATTTGATATGTTGGCAACATTTGTTCTTTGGCAATCAGCATGCATAATTGAATGTGCTTTGCTTCAGACAGGAAATTCATTAAAATTGATTAAAAAAATGAATAAAGAGAATACACAAGATCTGTCATGTTTTGATAACATTAATGTTAGAACAAAAGCAAAATGTTAGAACTATTCTAGAAATTATGCCTTTTTTTTTTTTTTTTTCTGATTGAAAACTGGAGTGATAATTCCCACGCTGTGAAGTTGTTTGATAGTCCTCCATTTGTTGATATATTTGATATTAGGAATGAACAGAGACTAGGCCTTCATCCTAGCCAAAAGGCTTGAAAAATGGGATGATAATTACATTGCTGTGAAGTTGTTTCATATTCCTCTGTTTGTTGACACAAAGTATCAAGTTTGAAAACTTCAAACAATTCAATAAAAATAGATGCATAAACAACCCCAAAATAATTATATCACTATGTAAAGTGTACACTGGTTCTTTTAATTTTAAAATGCAATTAGCTTTTGAAACAGAAATTAAAAGAAAGACTGGATAAACATCTGGTTTATTTCTTTTCTTTAATATCATGAAAAAATTAAATATTTTAGTGAAATATATATATTGAGATTTTAATGAATAATATAGTACAACTTATCCAAACAAATTTATATAAGGATGGCTGTAGTATTGGAATCATACTCAAGAATGTAATTTATTCCATGTTTTTAGCTTCAGAAACATGGGGTTATATTGTACTCAAGAAAATCTGGTATATGCAGATGATACCACAGTGATACCTCCAAATATCTTGATCAGTGCCTGTGAGGAAAAAACTGGCTGATATCATTCAATACATCCAAAACTAAGCTCATAGCATTTCATCACCACCAAGCAGACCCTAAACCTGCACTAATACTGATGAGGGGTCATACTCTGAGGCTCCTTGCCTTGAAAACTCGCTGGAGATCACTCAGGACCTCAGTTGGAATGTGTATATATGTGTTATTGTAAAAAATGCTGGAAGAATGATTTGTTTATTATATCACTCAAGCAAATGTCTAACTCTTACTGCCATAGTCTATCTTTAGATCAGACCAAGAATGGCATATTGTTGCAAATATGGCTGGTACTGCACAAACCTCACTGTTCAGGCTCAACGAAAAGTTTAAAAGTGTTTACACGGCCTTTTGGGTGATGAATTATTCTCCACCCTGCAACTCTTATCCCACAGATGAAACATTGCCAGCCTTTTTATATTATATCACTATTACTATGGTAGATGTTTGAAGGAGTTACATTCCTTCATGCTACCAGCTCAGGACCTGCCATACCATGTTCACAGCCAGGACCTGCCATACCATGTTCACAGTGGCAAACCATCTCCATTTCCTTCATGTTCCTTTGATAAAAGCCAAGTTCCACTCTGACAGCTTCTTCTCCAGAACTGTTACATTCTGGAACAAACTACCAAGAGAATGCTTCTTTGACTCTTACAATCTTGCTTAGGATCATTATCTTGTTGAAGATCCAATCAGGAGAAAGTTCAAGATTTTCAACTGAAATCATTAAATTTGCTTCAAAAATATTTTGATATGCTGTGGAATTCATTCTACCATCTATTACTGATATGTTGCCAGTACCTTTTGCAGAAAAACATCTGCAACCATGATGCTGTCACCACCAAATTTCATTGTTGGAACTGTGTTCTTTTGTTTGAAGTCATCGCCATCTTTCCTCCATACATGATTTCTAGAATTTTGTCCAGACAACTCAATTTTGTCCGTAATACTATTTCCCAATACAATTTTTCATTATCCTTATGTTCATGAATGAATTTCAACCTGGCATCTCTGTCGCTTTTCCATAGCAGTGGAGTTTTCCGAGGGGAGCCTGACTTTAGATTGTTCCTATGAATTTTGTTTATATATATATATATATATAGTCTGTAACACACTCATATTATATATATATATATATATATATATATATATAATCCTTCACACATATGATATGAATGTAATTTATACATACATAGTCCTCCATACATGCAAACACACACATATATTTAGTCATTATATAAGCAGGATAATAATGCAATACTTCATCCCAGAACCTCAAATGCCAAAAATTTTTACCTATGTTTGACTGCAATAATGTCAAGAATAATTAAAAAATTAAAAAAAAAAAAAAAAAATCAGTCTTTTGTTTTTATTTGCAGTGAGAATAAAAGTGTCATAATAAATATAGAAGTTCCCTACCCAACAAATGAATGGACAGGAAATGTATTTTGTGCTAGTGAAACTGATGGTCTGGGTTTGTTGCCTCTGCCAGTGATTACCATCTTCCAACCATTCTCAGTATCCTATGTACTGCCATATACATGCATTGCAGGAGAAAGGATTCCAGTTAGTATTACAGTAGAGTCAAATGTTAAAAGTTGCCTCTCGGTAAGTGTTTAATAATTCTAAGAAACCATTTTTTTTTTTTTTTTTTTTTTTTTTACTAATGATTTTCATAAAATTGTGTTACTCAGTTTAGGTTAAAGCCTTGATTGTCAAATAAAATGCCCAAAGTCTCTGAAGACTGTCAAATTAATCATTGGATGAGAAAAAGATAAGGCAAGGGAAACAATAAATGTACAATGATAGAAAAATAAATGAACAAACAGATAAAAGAGAACATCAAAGGCAGAGGTTGTTCTGAATGGGCTCACTTCAAGAACCTTTCAAATGAATACAGGTGTCCCCAAGGCTCTATCCTGGGTTCTACACTGTTTCTGATCTTCATCAATGATGTTTCAGATGTCATCAGTCCCCAAGTATGCATTTATGCAGATGACACTACCATTTACTCCTGTCTCAATAGCAAATCCATCAGAGCTGTCAAAGTTAACCTGGCTGCTGCTCTTGAAAAGGAACTTCAATCAGTGGTTAACAGAGGCATGAAGTGGCTTGTAAATTTTAATGCCTTCAAAAATAAACTGCTATCATTAAACCACCATAGAGAAACTTCCCTGCTTGCCATCAACATGGCTGATCCTTGAATCCAGAAGAGCATCTCACTGTGCCTTCTTGGCCTCACGTTTTCAACTAACTTGAAGTGGAACAACTACATTGAATCTATAGCTGCATCTACTGCAAGGAAAGTTTGTTCATCGTGTTGTGCCAAAAGGTTTTTCTCGTCAGTTCATCTTGTACATTTACAAATCTACCATTCATCTGTGCATTGAATACTGTTGCCATATCTAGTCTGGTGCCTCTGCTGTTCATCTCGAGGTTCTTGACAAAATCCAAAGAAGAATCTGCAATGTAATTGATCCTGACTTGTCATCTCGACTTTAGTCACTTTCTTATAGATGCGATGTGGCTTCCCTCTGTCTTTTCTACAAATATTTTCATGGCAACTGCTATGACAAGCTTTTTTTCTCTTGTACCCTGACTACATGAATTTAAGCATACTACTAGATTGGCATCTAGGTCCCACCCCTTTTACTGTTGAAATAGTTAAATGTAACTGCCACTTCTACTCCAACAGTTTCTATTCTTGTACTTTCTGACAGTGGAACTCCCTTCCACTTGCTTCCCTGATAACTACAATTTTCAAAAATTTAAATACAATGTCAATTGCCATCTTCTGTTGTCTTGAACCCTGTTCATCTTTTATCCTTTCCTCAATCGCACCCCCATACCCAGTCTTTTCTCTCACTTTCACTCTCTCTTACCTTTTGTGTACTAGTGGTACTCCTGCCTTGTTTGGAGTGAAATGATTTAAAAAAAAAAAAAAACAAAGAAAAAAAGTGGTCCAAGATTAAAGAAAAATGGCTGCTAACTGGATAGAGTAGTTTGCATCAGAAGCTGAATGAAATACATTAGTCTTCTAGCCTCTTTTTCTTGTTCACAATTTCTGAATTTATTTTAACTTGAAAAAAAAATTGAATTCTCTTATTTTCTGACAGATCCAGTTACACATAGAAAAACATGAGATTTCTAAAAATTCATCTCATATGATTGATGGTCCAGATCTCTGTCTTTGTAATGAAGAATTTATCACCAGCAAAATCTATCTTGATGAACTCACTCCTGGTTCCATAAACCTTACTGTTTCGGTAAGTTTTTCTTCATTATTTTTTTTTTTTTTAAATATTAACAAAACTAATAGCATAAAATATTGATGTTCCTCAGAAATTTTGTGGTATAATCTAAAATCATTTAAAATACAGCAGCCCAACCTCATTATTTATGGAGGGTATGTTCCAAGACAAACACCCTGGAAATGCCTGAAACTTCAGAGTGTATTAAACCATCTATATACTTTTGTTTGTTTGTTTTTTTTTTTTTAATGCATATTTATGATGAAGCTTAATTTATAAATTAAATAAGAGTTTAGCAACAATAACTAGTACTAAAACAGGGCACTTATTACAATAGAATGTTATAAAAGACAAAAGACAAAAAGTTTGTTCTTACTGACAAACTTGGTATATAATTCACTTAAAAGTACTTTCTGACTTATTGTTGATAGATCTGAATTACCAACATGACTCTTATACTTTGAGACCACTATTAAGTAAAATGTT